TTTTCTCTGTGATCCCTTACTGCCAGCCTATACTCTTGTCGTCTTATATTGATATTAGTTCTTGCAATTTTTATGTCCATCCCTCGTTCTTTTGCGATTCTAGTACTCTTCTGCGCCTTTCTCAATCTTTTCAGTGCTGTCTTTCTTTTAGGAGTTGTTGGTATTCCTGTTCTTCTCAATACACTGTTTGCAGTGGACTTTAATTTATTTACTAGCTGATTGTATGCCTCATTGATCCCTATTTCTTCTACTGACACGTTGCCTTTTTTTACTAATTCTTCATGATATCTTTTCTTTGTTTCTTTAAACTGTAAGTTTGATGCGCTGATTATCGATGTAACCTTTTTTTCTGGTTTTTCAATTTCTTCAATCAATTTGATACCACAGCACGATCATCGACTCTTTCTAACGGTTGCCTGACACGTAGTTTCCCAATCTTGAGAAGAAAACATTGCTTCTAGTGTTTGGTGCATGCACTGTTGTAATCATGAATTCAGCCTGTGTTCCTTCCCATCCTACTATTGCCGATAATATGTTCGTATCTATGGTCCTAATATCTCTTATTCTGATCCCAGAGTATTTATTTATTAGGATGGCCAGTCCTCGAGCTCTGTTTGCATTACATCTATTGGATATATACCACTCATACGACTTAGTATTCACTATACTTGCTGTCAGATTTACCTCTTGGAGGGCTGCAACTTTTATATGATACGAATCCAAGCACTCGTCTATCTCGTTTCTCTTCTTTAATGTACAGCATCCTCTCACGTTCAATGTGGCTATCTTGATGGTTTCCTTTTCTTTATCCTTTTCATCTGTACATTTTTCTGGAACCTCCTTGTTTAGACCTTTTTCATTCGTCCACTTATCATTCTCCACTTCCGATTGTATACACAAACTGTCATATTTAATTACCCGGTGCTCGGAGGTGAGGCCGGCAGCTCAAAATGTTAGAGTCATACTGTACTGGACATATTTCAGCATGTAAGATGAACAACAAAAATGAGCTGTGTTTGTTCACATCGACTGATACTGAGTGGTTGCGGTACAAGCACATATCGTCGATAATAGACGATTGTTGTGTATCAAAGAACGCTTGCGCAAAAAGACTAGGGTGGGGAACGGATTCGAAACTCAAATGTCATTAGCCAAATACATCCGTAGACCATAGGTCCACCGTTGTATAATTGGCAATGCACCCGTGTACTGAATGGGAATTGTGGGTTCGAATCCCACCGGTGCCCTTAGATTTTTTCGCAAATTTTCTCACACACACGTCTCTTACCGATTATATGTGCTTACCTCTCAGTATGTTCAAACTTTCCTATAAACAATTAAATTGACTGCAAAGTCGCTAAACCGTGAATCAAAAAGTAAAAGTAATATTTAATTACATCATTTGTTACATTTCTTATTATGTTACAAGATCTATTCCTGTAACTACTATCTCTTGGATTAACTGTGTAGATTACTCCTTCATTGTTCCAAATGTTGATTACACTATCCGTAATGTTAGCTATTATTTTGATGGTTTCCATATTTCCAATGGTATTGTCACTCATTGGGGATTGTCCTGTGCTTTCGAGATAACTATTGACGTCTTTCCTTAATGCTTTTGGAAGTTCTTGGAATTCTACACTCTCAGGCGGTATTCCACTAATTTGGTGACTGATGGCCGCATATAGACAGTCTTGGTTGTTTGGCATCCTTTGAATAGTATTTTTTTTTTCCCTTTCATTGTATCGGCTACCATCTCTGAGTTCTGTATCTGTTTTCCTTGCTCTTTAGCTTTTTCGTTTTGATGATACTTCCAATTGTGTTTTCCTCATTATTTTCGTAAATCATGATTGAACTAGTATTACTCTTTATGTTATGTTTAATTATTGTTGTCTCCTTGTTGTTATAAAATATTATCGCTCTCCTTCCAATCCTTTCAGTCAACTTAGATATTATCTCTATTGTATCCTTTGCCTCTCCTTTTCTCTTATCAAATCCAATTGCTGCTTCCATTTCCTCCCTACATCTCCATATGTCCACTTTAAGTTTTTCAATTTGGTCCCATAATACATGGCTCATATCTTTCATAGACATCATTCTTTCCGTTAACCGTTTCCATCCTCGTCTCCTGTAAACTTTATAATTGGACAATCTTCTTGATAGACCCAAATATCCCTTTTCAGTATCCTAGCTGCTCCAGCAATGCATTCTGAGGATACCATTTGCTTATCTTTTTTTATCGATTCCAAGTACTGCTGCCATCTATCCGGTGAAGTATCCAACCATATTCCGCACTCCTCAATATTTTGTTCCAAGTAGTTAACTATTTGCTGCCTCAAACTCTTCGCTTTTTCTACAATTGCCTTCTTGTTCTCTGTCTTCAGCATTTGATGTGCCAATGCATAAAAAAAAACAGTTTCCGTCTCCTTCCACTTTTTGGATAGCAATTTCCACCGCCGGTTGTTTTATTGTCTTCTGAATAATTTTTTCCATCCTGTTTTTTTTTCTTCTTTTTATTTCTTTATTGACTTCCTATTACTGTTGCACTATTTATTTACGTGAATGGAACCATAGCATACATACTAGCTAATAATTAGAAAAAAGAAAGAGATATAGAGCAAAAAACAAATATTTCTTATTACTCTGCACTACCTTGTTCTAAACCATTATTGATTATTATCATACTATCAGTCTACCACAGACAAGCATACATAACACTCAAATGTTGTTCATAGAACTAGCATTTAACGATCAATTCAAAAGTTGGTAGTACTGTCACCTGTGGCGCGCATAGTCAATTCCTTTACTTACTACCCACCACACTGCACCCAACCTATGGCTGTAATGCTTTAGGAACGATGCCCTACAATGAGAAACATTCAATGTGTTTTGTCTGTTTGTCTGTGAGTCTACTATTATAAGCTTTTCTTTATTTAATATTTAAGGTGAAATAATGTATTGTGTAATATGAGGTTCACCTTAATGATTATAAATCATTAATAACCCCATTTTTTAAATTTGATACACCCCATTAAAACACTACTCTTAGAGTAATAATTAGTTTTCTTTTACATATTGCTGTTCAACAAAATTAAACTTCCTCAATCAGTTTAACCCTCCAAACAACACGCCCACGGTAAAACATGTGAATGCAGACCATCAACGCCTGAAAATTCACACGAAGAGTCAATAAAGAAATATATATATATATATATATATATATATATATATATAAATTTTGAGTTGATAATGAAAGCAAAACTTTTAAACCAATAAAATTGCTTTCATTTTGAATATTTTAGAGGTTAAAACTACGAAATAATGCTCTCAATATCATGCGTAAATTTAAATGTTTGAAGCTGTTACTTGCTGTAAAATTACGTGTTCAATTTCATTACATGCTCGATTTATTATCGTTTGTAATAGATTACGTCGCAATTACTTTTCATTACTTTTTAGCGTGTAGATTAACTGAAAACTCAATTGGACTTAACGTTAGCTTTCTATATTGAAAAGTAATGAACAATGCTCCAACGAGCGATCTATCCCTGCCTTTCTGAGGTGAATGACATTCTACGGAAAGTTCATGTGCATTTTAAAAATAATTGTGGTAGGAAACATCACCGTTACTTGGGAGAATGATAAAACAAAATAGAAATAGAATCTTAATATGAATTTAAGTGGCACTGGTGGTGTAGTGGTAAGCGTGATTGCCTATCACCCCAAAAGGACTGGGTTCAATCCCAGTCGGCGCCGCCGGGATTTTCTGAGGCATAAGATCTCTGATCATGGGAAGTAAAGCCGTTGGTCCCCGGTCTTATGAGTTGTGATGGGTCGATAGGTATGGTCCAGGTGTGTGAGCTGTCTCCCTGGGAAGCATTGGTACACAGTATGGAAAACAAGATCGACGGAAAACAAATCAAAAGAAAAAAAAAATATTACGAATTTAGATAGGGGAAAAGTTGGCTTCGGCAATACCTTAACCTATTATCGTCAGGGGGTAAACAAAGTCCTAGAGCACTCAAATTTGGCCAATAGTTGCTCTGAAACACAATGTATCCACATGCCAAAATTGAGCTCTCAAGGACGTTGTTTACCCCCTGACGATAATAGGTTAAGGTATTGCCGAAGCCAACTTTTGCCCTAAATTATTAAAGCAGTGCTTCGTGATCTGAGGAATTTCTTAACTGATGAATGATTATTCATCGATTAGTTCATTTCGAATGATTATGACTAATGATGATTAAATTATGTGAGGCATATGTTCAAGATTAATGATTAGTAATCTCTAAAAAAAATAATGATTAGTGATTATGATTAATCTTTAATCTTAATCATTAATCACTAATGCTCTGGTGCATGGTCGGTCATGGAGGCATGGAGTTATCCATGTATCATGTGGACAGTTTAGTAGGAGTAGGTGATTGATTTCTGTCCGCAATTTGTAGGGTGAGGAAGGTCTAAAAACTCTCAGAAGCTGCTGAAGTAAATAGACAAATTAAGTGACACATTTTATGAAAATGTATTTTTTTTAGATCCTCCATCTCTGATACTTCACTCCTCAAGTATAACAATACATTTTGAGAACATCAACATATGCTAGCAAAAATGCAAAACACACCTAAAACATGCCTCCACATTTATCCTTCTTCATTCGTAGACACCGGGTAGCACTATGAATGTTTATCTAACGAACCCGTTCCCCAACCCGTCAGCAACGAAATTAATCATCATGCCAGCCTGTGTCAATTACACGCTTTCCTCCACAACACACAACATCGGCAAGTGTTTGGATATTATCGCTTAAAAATAGACCTCATTTTTTCTTATTTGCCTCCGAAAAGAGCACCACAATGAGAGAAAATTCTGAGTGATCACGATCGCCATTCACACTGCGCAGTACATCACCCAGCTGTGGGAACTCACGATCACCATCTTCTCGCAGCCGCAGCAGCGTTTTGAGCCGATCTCATCCCACAGCTTCGCAGTCTAGATTTTCCTTTCATCCCATTCGAGTCGGTTTCGTCCGCTTGGAGATCGATCTCTTTTTTTTCTCTTCTTGAGCTGTGGAAAAATTTTCCGCTCTAGTGAAACCGCGACATTTCCGAACCGTCTGGAGCTAAGAGGTGGTGTCTGCTGATAAAGTTCGATATTCGTTGCCAGAGTGATAAGCCCTAGGAGTTTGAATTGAGAGCAAAAATTCGAAGAATGTGGCATGCGAAGCCAAAGCCAATGCCAGCTCAGTGAGGAAAATTTCCCATGCCCATATAATTTTAGAATCGCTTCAAGCTCCACCAGATCTACCGAGAGTGCACGCCAAGCACTGAAATGAGACGACAAACCGCGGTTACATATCTACGTATACACATTTCGAGTCTGCATAGTTAGTCGGGACAGTACGTGAAAGTTAATTAACGGCGCTTTGGGCAGGGAGCAGTGGATTTTAAAATTCCCGTCGCGGTGGCTGATGATAGATTTGTGAGGCTGCACTGAACAGCTGAAGCTAAGAAGAATTCGTTAGAAAAAAAAGAAATGGAAACCTGATCTTCAAAACCGCAATAATATTTTGTTCCAAATATAAAGTGCTTTGTGGAGACCCGCCCGTTCCTGCAGGAGGTGATAAATTCAACCAAGGAAAATAATCAAAAGCGTTAACGATTTTGCTTCGCGGGTACGAAACAAGGAAACCGACACTGTTTATTCAGCAAATAATATTCATGTTCGGCGGAAAATTCGATCGCCGTTTTGACAGGGACCGTGCCATAAAGTAAAAGGCGGTGTGAAAATCGGCAGTGATCGCATCGATGACGTCGTCCTACTAGCACACGTTTGCGACTTACTACATACGATTTGGACAAGAATAAGACGACGAAGAAAGTGAGTGAGTGCCTTGGGTGACTGTTAGTGTGAACATTCACCGAAACACTGCAGTCGAGAGTCGAGAAGCTGCTGGTGGGGGAAATTCTTGCCCCCCCTATCGGTGTTCGGGAAATTACGGGGAAAACAACACGCTCGGACAGTTTGTAAACAGGTAGGTTTTTGTGTATAATTTGAACATACGAAGTCAGCAGATTATTAATTTCACTTTTCACATCGTATCCGAGTCCGACACCGAAGCCGGTTGTCAGGGGGTTAGAGTTGGTTCTGGAAAATTTCTCACCGCGGGTGTTTATGGTGTTTGTTGATTTGTCGGGATAAGTGCAATAACTTCGAAACGGACTTGCATCTGCAACGAAAGTTAGATCTGCGGTAACAATAAACAAAGCAAACGATATACCTACCTTTGAATAAATATTACATCAATGATGATGAATTTCCATAGTGGTGATACATTTTTATTTTAGACGGAACCAGCGCTTGATCAATAAAAATCAATTAACATAGTAGGTAGTTGCCCCGAAATGGATAGTAATAGTGATGACGGGGGGACTTCCCTTTCGGCCGTTCCCACTGACGATTAGCAGTCCGATGTGGAAATGAAATCCCATGTGACAAAAAAGAACACCGGAACCATCCCAAATGTTAAACCTTCACCATCCACACCTTCTTCCCTCCTTCTACCCCGTCTAACCCGCCACCAACCAACACCGGCTATCCCTGTAGAACTAACACAAGCTGCCCCCCGCCACAAGGCATACCCAGACGCCTCGAAAGGTCCATGGGTTGTTTTCTTCCGGCCCAAGCAAATAGCTCTAAATGTTAACCGCATCGAAAAGGATCTTTTCAATCGTTTCTCGTCCGTGGCCGACGTTTTGAAGGTGCGGCCAGACAAACTGCGCGTCACTGTTGCTGGTCAAAAGCAGGCGTACGAGAATGTTGCCTGCGAGCTCTTTACTTTAGAGTATCGAGTTTATATCCCATGTCACGATGTGGAAATCGATGGAGTATGATCAGCGACGCCTTCCTGAAGAGGGGGGTTGGGGTTTTCAAGAGCCCCACTCTTCCTGAAGTAAACATTCTGGACTGAATTCAAATGCAGTCAGCGTTCTTGGATGGGACGAAAAAAAACCTACTTCCATATCAGACTTGTTTCGGGTGACCTTCTCCGGATCGGTACTGCCAGATTACGTCAGGTTTGGAAGGGTTCGACTTCCTGTGTGGTTGTTTGTACCGAGGGTGATGAAGTGCACAAAGTGTAAACAATTTGGCCACACCACTGCCTTTTGCGGCAACAGCGAGGGGCAATAAAGTATCCCACGATTTCAGTTGTTCTTCCGTAATATTCGATCTCATAATGAGGGAGTAAATTCAAGGAATACCAGAGCCCCATCGTCCCCATCCATCTTCGCGAACAAAAATACCGCCACGTCAATGCCGAGAAGAGATTTTTCACTGATGGGTCCACAATAAATGCGGCCACTGGTTTTGGTGTATTCAATGATCTTCATAGTGCCTCATATCAGCATCAAAAACCATGTTCGGTATACGTTGCGGAACAAGAAGCTATATTATATGCGTTAGAGCAGATTTCCTCACTTCCCCTGATCACTATTAATTTTTTTCGGATAGTCTAAGTTCTCTGGAGGCTATGCGTTCAATGAGGCCGATGAAGCACTTGACGTAATTCCTGAACGAAATACGATCGTCACTGAGTGCTTTATCAAACAGCTCACATATCATCACCTTAGCATGGGTCTCTTCTCATTGCTCTATTCCGGGCAATGAGAAAGCGGACTCGCTGGCTAATGTGGGCGCTGTGGAAGGCGACATTTACGAGCGACAAACCGCCTACCATAAATTTTTCACATTCGCTCGTCAGCAAGTCCTCATCAACTGGCAACACAAGTTGAATCATGGTAATCTGGGAAGATGGTTACATTCGATCCTCCCAAAGGTGTCGATCAAACCCTGGTTCAAGGGATTGGACGTGGATCGCGATTTTATCCGGGTAATGTCCAGGCTCATGTCCAATCACTTCTCGTTAAACGCACACCTCTACCGCTAGAGCTTGTAGACAGCAGTTTATGTGCCTGTGGAAACGGCTATCACGACATCAAGCATGTTGTCTGGTCCTGCATTCGAACTACTTGATTCCTTCAGAGCCCGAGGAAAACAACCTAATACACCAATTGGAAACGTTCTGGCTTACCGTGATCTCGATTTTTTTTAGATTAATTCACGAATTCTTAAAAACTACTGATTTGTGCATTTAGTAGTATTTTGTGTTTGAATTTCCTTATCACTATCCCAACCCAAGTCCCCTCTTGTATCATTACAGCTGTGCTTTCAATGCTTCGAGATCCATAGCACATGTCCGCCAATAAAGTCTTTCATCCACAATCATCCGTTGAAAGAAGCAGAAAGAAGAAGATTTACCAATATCCCTTTCCCTTTGTGCCCTTTCAATCTTCTAAATACATGTAATTATTAGTCTCGAGTAAACCACGAGTATTCGGCCCTCATTCCACTAACATAAGTTGTAAGAAATGATTATCTAAAGTTACATATAAAGTAATTTGGCTCCGCAAAGCTACCACATTTGAGCCTTGACAAATAAATGGATCATAAAAAAATGTGAACTAGGGGAAATGGATGCAATGTCGGCCTAAATGTTCCTAATTTGGGCCCGTACATAAATTCAGCAATCGACTAAATTTTCAATAGCGACCAAAACTAGTCATAGTACCGTCCCAATTACTCGTTCATCTTAATAGCAGCATCTAAATAGCAGATTTTTTGCGATTTTTTAGAAATTATCCTTTACAGATCTTTAAACTTCCTTAAATGTCTGGACTTTCCAGAAGTTATTGGGGCTGCCCCTAAGATTCCTGAGCTTGTCTGAAAATCTCCAGGTCTAGCTTGTCTGAGGTTCTTGAAATTTATTTAAAGTATCCACAAGTTCTTTGGATATCTCCGAAGTTAACTTGACTTCCCTGATGATCTTAGAACTTCTTAAAAGTTCCTGCAGATTTCATGAAGCTGATGGAACCACCTTGAAGTTCTCAAAGCTTTCCTGAAGTACCCAAAATGTTATAGAAGTTTTCAGATTTTACTTTATTATCCCGCAGTTCCATGAAATTATTTACCCGGAAATCTCAAATATTTCCTTTCATTCCTCAAATGTTTTAAAAATTTATAAAAAATGTGTGAACCACTCTGAAGTTCTCTAATCCATCCCTAAGCTCTTATGTTCTCTGAAAAATCTTTAATTTTTTTAAATTCTTGAAATTCATCGTTATTTTTCTAATTCTTTACTCTTTATTCTTTATTAGGAGCAGGGAAAAGCCCATTTGAGTGCTTTTTTTTCTCAAATGGGCATAAACCTCCTCATCTTTTCGCATCAACAGAACAGTACATTCCAAATGATAGGGTAGAGCGCTACTTCGTCTTAATCGCCCATTTCCGTTCTATCAATCAGAAAAGATCAATAATATCAATGACTTCACCGTCTACAAATCAAAAATAGGTTTGTTTCGATGCGTTAGTTCACTAGTTACAACATAAATCCTGTTAGAGCGCATTGCATGAATATTTACGCTCATTGTTATCAAAACAAAAGAAGCGCTCCTAGCGAATCCCCTTTTTCTACGTTCATGCGTAGGACGAAGAAAATCTAATGGTGTTTCAATGCGTTTGGACGGAATTGAAACTCGTAGAACGAATTTAGAATCAAGAAGCAGTATTAGATTTTAAACAATATCTCAACAATTTGTGGCTCTTTATCAAATCCAACGGTACGTATGGAAAGGTGAATAAATTTAGAAGTCATCTTTGACAGAAATATTCCATTTTTAATTAAAACTCGTCCAGAAATGAGAGGTAAAGTGCGCGTTGTGCTTAGTAGGACAGAAATTAGATCAAAAACCCTACATTATTAGCTTAAGACTAAACAAAATACGACCTTATTCTATTTCTTACTACTACCTATAATTTACTAACTGAGCACTTCACGGAACCTATTTTTATTAATGGAACGTGACAGATGAAAGTCGAAGACATGGTAACAACGGTTGAACACACGACATATACTACTAAAAGGCTCATTATAGCCATAATTAGTAGGGAATGTCGATATGCGCATAAATTGATGAGAACGGAGAGTATGACGACGAATATCAAAATTCAACTCACGTAACACTGTAGGACAATCTATGTGAGATTGAACAACATTAGATATAAAACAAGCCTTAGTGACATTCCTACTAACCTCCAGAAGGTCAAGGTCAAATAATTTACAACGATCTTCATATCTAGGTAGATTAGATGGATCATTCCAAGGCAAACGTCGAAGAGCAAAGCAAATAAACTTATGTTGGATAGCTTTTACTTGCTGTACGCTGTTCTGATAGTAAGGAGCCCAGACCACAACTGCATAGTCCAATGTAGAGCGAACTAAAGAACAATACAGGGTCTTCAAACAGTGAATTTCCGAGAATTCTTTTGCAGCACGAAAAATAAAGCCCATGCATTTAGAAGCTTTGGAGGTTATATATCCTACATGATCTTTAAAAGTAAGTTTCGAATCTAAGAGAACACCCAAATCCTTAACAGTAGATTCTCTCTTTAAATATATTCCGGCAATGGTGTAATCAAATGAAATGACAGAACGTTTACGTCCAAAGGAAATTACTGAGCATTTGTTGGCATTCAAGCTCATACGATTAGTTGCGCACCATTTGGAAAAAAGGTTAAGTTCTTTCTGAAGGAAATGTGCATCTTCTTCACCGGTAATTACATAATAGAGTTTGAAGTCATCGGCATACGAGAGCTTAAAACATTTGTGCACTAGGTTGACGTCATTCAGGTACAGCAAGAATAAGAATGGTCCAATATGACTGCCGTGTGGAGCACCAGATGTGACATGGAATGGTTCTGATATAGTATTACCAATTTTGACCGACATTGAACGACCAACCAGGTAAGAGTTTAGCCAATCTAGCAACGAACCAGAGAAACCAAGACGGTCAAGCTTTGCGATCAAGATTTCATGGTTGATTTTATCGAAAGCAGCTGAAAAATCAGTATAAATGGCATCGATCTGCTTGTGAGCTTCTATAGTCTTGATGATAAAGGACGTGTATGGAACCAGAT